CAAGTAATCATAAGTATTTCCTAGCAATCTGCTTTCCTATGTTCAGCAAACTATTAGCTAAGGTCCCCTATTTTAGCATCATAAGTATTGTGTGCTATTCACTCTTATGGTCCTTTTATGGAACACATTAACCAAATTTTCTTTTCCTTTTCTATTTTTAGTTAAATTATATTTTATGTCTCTAGTCATGGTGGTGTTTCTTTTTTTCCAATGTGAATGCATCACTTTTTTGTTCTTTCAATCTTCTGCTCTTTAGTTCTTTTCTTGTGTGGTTTGTTGTTCAAAAATGCTTTCCTTACAGGTTTGATAATTGTGCATGATTCTCCCTCCCTTTCTCCCTCTTGGCTGTTTGAGTCTTTTGTTACTCAAAAATGTTCTCAGATTTTTGATGTGCACATTGATTTATCATACATGGACTATCTACATTTGCAGGTCGTTCCATTTACACCAAGTGCTGGTGTACTTGAATGGGTTGATCGTACTATTCCGCTTGGTGAATACCTTTTAGGAAGGTTTGCTATCTTGCTCATGTTGCTTTATTGTGAATAACTATGATGTTTCATATGCTTCAATATTTCACATGTGCCTATCTAGTGCAAGAAACGGAGGAGCACATGGTCGATATGGAGTAGGTGATTGGTCATTTCTTCGATGTAGGGAGTGCATGACCAACGTAAGTTCACATCTGCTGGCATATTTGGTTGCATACCTAGCAAATTTTGATGCATGTAGAACATTGTACTTACTGATTTTGTAGTGGTATAATTCCAAAAGTGGATATGTGCTCTATTTTCTGAATATAGTGTTTTTTTTTCTTTGCTTTATTGTCTTAAGATTGATTCTCTTAACAGGAGAAGGACAAGAGGAAGGCCTTTTTGAAAATCTGTGACAATTTCAGGTTTGATAAATATTTGTTTACTTGGTTATTTATAACTGAAACTAATTTCAGTGGTTGTGCATGGCTTAGAATGCAAATAAAAAACCAGCATTGGCACCTAGCACTTGCCAAAACCCTTGCCTTCTTTAATTGTGGACCTGTGCTAGCGCCATGATGGTGACTTGCATTGCTCCCATCCACAACAATTTATACTAAACAGTACTCTTGCTTTCCATTTGAGCAGGCCTGTTATGCACTATTTCTTTTTGGAGAAATTCTTGCAACCTGCAGATTGGTTTCAGAGCAGACTGTCTTATACAAGAAGTGTTGCAGCTAGTTCAATGGTCTGTATAAATGGGTAGATGATACATTAATAATATATCATAACATGCCTTTACCTGTTTCCAAGTGATGTTTAGAAACTGATTATTTAATAATATATCTGCAACTGTCATATAGCTCCGCAAACAAATTTCCTTTCAGGTAGGTTACATTGTAGGACTTGGAGATCGGCATTCAATGAATATTCTTATCGATCAAGAAACAGCTGAGGTGGTACACATTGATCTTGGTGTTGCCTTTGAGCAGGGACTTATGCTTAAAACACCGGAGAGGGTTTGTCTACCTTTTCAATTTTAGTTATTAAAGAAGGTGCTTTATGTAATTAGCAAATTTCTTTTTGCATTTGTTTCAAAGTATGACTTTTATGCAGGTTCCTTTTAGACTGACCAGAGACATCATAGATGGCATGGGTGTTACCGGTGTTGAGGGTGTTTTCAGAAGATGTTGCGAAGAAACTCTCTCCGTCATGAGAACAAACAAGGAAGCACTGCTGACTATAATTGAAGTATTAAACCACATCTCCCTCGTCTGTTGGTTTTGTTGTCATGCCTTCGTGCATGATACTATTGATGATCATGCTTCCATCATGCTGTCATTGTAATTAGATTTTGTCCTCTTCTTTCTTTTTATAATTTACTGTGGCTATTGCAGGTTTTCATCCATGATCCTCTGTATAAATGGGCTCTCTCTCCCTTGAAAGCTTTGCAGCGGCAGAAGGTATGCTGGCCATGTTGTTTTCTTCAATTCTATTATCAAAACTGATTTTTATTATAATTTTTTATATTATTTTGAATGTAGATATTTTTATGTTTTTGTTTCTGACTAGCATAAACATTGATTCATATGAGAGATTCCATGTTATTGCTTCTCTCAACATTTTATATCGGACATGAACTTTCATCTATGTTTGTTGCCTTGCAATAAATCAAGTTCTAATGAACATTTTGACTGCCTTCAAGCTGGTAAAACTTAAGTTGATAGCAAAAGATTATAGGAAAAATCTACATTATATTTTTGTTAATATGGTTCTTATGACTTACACTAATTTCTCTATCACAATGATTGCGACATGCACAACCTTTGATCTTTATTTCTTTCAGGAAACTGATGATGGTATAGATGCATGTTTGGAGAGTTCACAAGATGCTTGTGAAGGAAACAAAGATGCAGCTCGTGCTACACTCAGAGTTAAAGAAAAATTAGATGGCTATGAAGCAGGTGAAATCAGAAGTGTGCAGGGGCAGGTAATTTTATTTATGTGAATATGCTTTGGTTAGCTTTAATCATAGATACCCTTTTGATCTTTTTATAGCCATTATTTCATCCACAAGTTACATGGCACAATCTCGAGCTTTAGAAATCGAGAAAATCAAGTTTCTTATGTGCATGTTGAATTTGGATGTTTGAAAATAAAAAATTCATGAACTATATTATCTTTAAGCTTAGTTGGAATTGGATTTTTTTTTTTTTTGTCGTGTTTCACCATCAAGCAGACGGCCTGTTTGAATTCAAAATGCTTTTACATAATTTGTTCAATGCCAGCAGTAAAATGCAGTCTACAGCATACTACTTGTTCAAGTTCGAAGTATTTTGATAACTGTTCAAGACAATTAATAGTGGACTAATTAGTGCAACTTCTATTTTTGGAATAAATTTCACAAAAGGAGAAACTTTTTAGACTATCACCATACACATTTATGATTGGTGAAATACTGAGATGATCTGTGATGGTAATGTTACCTAATTGGTAAGCACAAAAGGAGAACATTTCATTTTCTTCTTTGGAACATTAATCCTCCATTGGTAAGCACAAATTGGACCTAAGTATCTGCTTTCTTTTGCAGTTTTAAAAAGCTCTTCAGCATTACAGTAGAATCCCTGAAAATCCAGGATACCCTTCCTCATAAAATTTCCCATATAGATAACAAAACTATCCCAAAACCTGTCACCAGGCATAAGGGATGACGTCCACCCTTAGGTGTCTTCGAGGAATGTTGGTACCCTTGGAAACCTGAAAAATCAATGAACTTGTATGCTAAGGAGACAAAGAAAACTGTCATTGTAGAACTTCCAAACTGCTATCAGAACTGGTGTCTTTTGAGGATTTAAGCCTAAACGTGTGGTTAAACAGTCCATTATGTTCATGCTATTTAGTTAATACTATTGCTCAAGTAGGACGCTTACACATATAATAGACAAATCTGTCTCTGTAACCATGTGTCTGTTGTTTATTGCGGCTTTTCAGGTCCAGCAACTCATACAGGATGCAATAGACATGGACCGATTGTGTCACATGTTTCCAGGGTGGGCAGCTTGGTTGTGAGAAAAGCACACAATTCCTATGCATTTCCACCTTCGAGGAGCATTGTAAAACAGTCTTGCCATTTGGATCCTTACAGCATATTTTGGTGCCAATCTTTCTTGGTCATCAAAGTGAAGAATTTAATATATGTCCATTATCCTCTTGCTCACCTTCTCTCTATTACAAGAGTTGGATGGATGATGGATCTGAACTGGTGTATCATAGCAGTTGCTTTCTATGTTCAATTGAAATGGGAAAAGATTATGACAAACAGCTCATGTTGGAGTCTTTTTAATAATCCGGGAAATTATAAAGGTCCTTCTCTCCCCATTTTTTACAGTACAATTCCAAATTCTGATCTATGTTTTGCTTTCTATGTCTGTTCTTATATTGAGCATTAAAGCTTTCTATGAAAAAAATTGTTTAAATAAATTTCTAGTTGTCAGACTCTTAAACTATCTAGAGAACTGTCCTATCTTAGTCTGCTACAATGCTGCAGTTGTATATTTATACATGATTATATTCATATTTATCCAATAATAATCCTTTTTATTATGAGTACGTAACAAGAGGGGGGGAAAAATAGATCAGATATGTCCGTACATTAAGAAATCGTGTCCTGTCTGATGAAGGGAGTTTACAGAGGAAGTGTATACCTTTTAATGCATGCCATGGGTGATTATAATTAGCCTATGAAATGATCGTTGTGGATATGAAAATTCTGTATCAAATCTATTTCTTCCTCACTACTGCTGTTGTTTTCTCGCTTTGGATAATAATTTTGGCATGCTTATTGAGAATGGAGTTTTCATATAGCCGTTTGCAACTTATATTGGAAAATTACTTTCCTCATCGTAGTTTTCTGGAAATGCTATCCTAAGCTTCGTACCCTGCATCCCACATACAATAGTTTTAGGAGAGGCCGTGGGATGGTTTCCTGACGCACTGCGGGTGGAACCCGAGCCTAGAGGCCGTGAGCGCGGGCGTGCCCATGGTCACATGGCCCTTCTTCGGTGACCAGTTTTTCAACGAGAGGTTGATCGTTGTAGTGCTGGGGGCAGGGTTGTCGCTGGGATCATCGGTGTGCACGCTTCAAGCGGAGGAATGGCCGGTGATCGAGGCGGCATAAATAGAGACGGCCGTGAGACGAGTGAGGAAGGAGAGAGAATGATGGCAAAAGGCCTTCCGGTGTTTGGATTGTGTTATGGATCTAACGGAACAGTGGAGGAAGTCCTCTGTCCTAAGCAGTACCCTTTCTCTTCTCCAAAAGAACTGATTTGTATGTAATCTACCTGGCGTTTGGGTTTAGAACGAGATAGGGTGGTGGGACAAGCGATGAAGAGACCAGCAATCAATAACCAACAAATTTACCTCACGGCTCCTGTCAATGAAGAGCACAAACCCTTCTGTGAGTTCCTTTGGGTTTCGGCCCATACTATCTAAGATGGGCTGAGCCTATTCTGCTAAATAATTCACGTTGGACCGACCAGGGTAACGGCGGCTGATCGAACCCGAGATCTTGTCCATCCGTTGTTGGCCGTATAAACAATAGGAGGAGAGGTTACGCCGATCGCCGTCGCCCCTACTCTTCGCCGGCTCCTAACGCTCCTCTTCTCTTCGATCCATGGCTTCCCTCGACACGGATATCAATGTGGTTCCGGCCGGCGAGGGGTCTAGCAGCGCTGCTGGGCCGTCAGCGACGGCGTCCTCCTCCTCGAAGAAGCCGAAGAGGTTCGAGATCAAGAAGTGGAATGCTGTCGCCCTTTGGGCCTGGGGTATGTGCCCGATCGACAAACCCTCGCAGCAGCTGGTCTGAATTTTCTTCTTTTAAGGTCTGTTATCCCTGGATCTCTTCGATTGACGAATCGATTTGATGGAATCGCGGCAGATATCGTGGTGGATAACTGTGCTATTTGTAGGAACCACATCATGGACCTCTGTGAGCTATCTTTACCCCACTGTGGTTTCTTAATTTTCTCTGTCTTGTTCTTGTGTATATGAGGGTTACGGTTCCCGATCTCTTTGTTTTATGGGGGGTTTCGACGTTCATGTTTTTTTGCAGGCATCGAATGCCAGGCTAACCAGGCTAGTGCGACTAGTGAAGAGTGCACGGTGGCTTGGGGTATGTATCATATATATATCACAGATTTAAGCAACTCGTGTTGTTTTTAGGGTTTTCTTTCTTTCTTTCTTTTTTGTTTTGGGTAACCGTATGAAATGTTCTTCTCTTTTATTAGAATTCGGTTAACAACTGACCCTGTGATGCATCTTGTCCTTGTGATTTTTCCGTTCTTGTTGCTCGAGTGGTAGTGCAGATCACTGTTTTCTTTGCATAGCTTAAGTCTGTCAATGTGTATATATTTGTCTCAACACATGTACTGGTGGTGATGTTGGCAATTAGTGTTATTCTTAGGTCTGAATGCTGTGTCACTGATTCATAGGCAATGATATCTGTTTTGCAAACTTCGGTATCATCTGTAAGAAATCAACTACGATTTACTGATTCAAGTGGTGCTACTTAAAGATAAGCAATATCTAAATTTATGGAAATTTTGTCTTTTGCGAAAGAGGGAATTCATACTCTGGATGTGAAGTATTTTGCTTCTGTTTAGATAGAACACTGAGAAACCTGAAGTATTTTATTTAAATCGTGATTGTGTTTGGATTGATGTTCTGAAAAGCAGTTGCAATATGTGGATGGTCAAGGTATTGCATAACGCATATGTTGGATGTAGCTATTTAAGTTAGATGCCATAAGAAAGGTAGAAGCTCTCGGTCATATCAACATGAATCATGTATTTAATACCAAATAATAACGATAATAGATTAAATAATACTAAAGAGGATGAATTTAAATTATATATACAACTGCATTTTCATGCTTATGCAGTTCATGAGATTTCATATATCCAATGAACCATGTATGGAGACCACATGACCTTATGTGAACATGTCAACGGACTGCATATACATATAATGTCACAAATGCCACAAATACATCTACGTAGTTGTCGTTTTGGTGATTTTGCTTTTTTTTTTCTAAACTTTGTAAGTTAATGCAGCTGATTTGCATGTTTAGCTCAATCAAACTTTGGTTCGTTCTCGTTATATCTGGTTGAATTTGTTTGGGGTCCTAGATTTATTGAAACCAGAGAAAGTGAGTGGTCGCAGAATACCCTGGTTTGATCAATAAAATTACATGTGCGTATGTTGTCGATACGAGTGCATGTGGATACGTGGGAGTTTTTGCATATATTTTACATATGTTTAGTATAAGCTTATATTTGTTTTCTGATGAAATAATATATCAATGCATGACTGGAGAAAAAGAGCACACACTTTATTAAGGTGGAGTTCGAGTTGTTGAGCAAAATGCCTATACACACATTGTATCCAAATAGTGATTTATCGATTGACTGCAATTGACATGCGTTGCTTGAAACAGGTGTCTGTAATCATGCCTTCCATTTCCATTGTATCAGTCGCTGGCTCAAGACTCGTCAAGTTTGTCCTTTGGGTATCCATTGTTTTGATTATGCCCCCACAAATTTAACTCCTGCAATTGTACATCATGTGGCTGACAAAAACTTTGTACATCTGCAGATAACAGCGAGTGGGAGTTTCAGAAGTATGGTCATTAGAACAGATGACAGCCTCTGCAGATGGTTCCTCCATCATCTTCGATCCTGCTTTAGTAACCATCTTGAAGGAAATCTCTATCTGCTATGTTGCATTTATGTGGATTATTTTTCTATGTTTGTTACTGTGGTCAAGTTTGCACTTGGGATTAACTCGTGCTCATTGAAAAATTACTATATCAGCTGAACTCATTGCCCATTGATATGGTGAACGCTGCTGTTGCAGTCAAACAAATAGAGGTTAAGCTATACAATCTGGCAAACACATTGCCGGGACTGGTGGTCGGTCCGACGTGAATTGCTTTACATGATTTTGGTTTAAGCAACAAACATGGTTTGATTGAATTAATATATGAAGTATTACGACACTCATCTTAACTTGTGTAAGATGGAGGATTTTTCTGATTCTAATCTTTGCAACATTTACCTTTTCGGATCGTAAATCCATTCACGGCACTAGGGGTTTGTATCTAAATCCGATCTAAGTAACCTAATGGCCAACAAACCAAATGCCCTTTTGTTAATAGCAAGGGGTATTGCTGCACTGGATATTGGGAAAAAAGGCAAATCAACTGGTGGCTAGAGTTGAGTATGTATATACATATTGTATGTTTAAGAGTGGTTGGCAACGCACTAACAGGTTGATGTTTCTCATTTCCGCTCGCACAACTGACTTCGGAGGACACCCCAAACCCGGTGGTGGTCACTAAATGATTACTACCCAGCATGGTCAACGGATGTGGCGCCACCGCCTTCGTTATCATGGTCCCAGCAGCGACAGAGATGCGTTATGATTCGCTACGTGTCAGATGACCTATCACATCTACAAGATTCTAGTGACCGGAGGTGAGAATAAGACACAACTATTCAAGGCTCTGGAGCCCCAAACAAAAAATTCGGGCGTATTTTGTCATCCGACTGGTTGACGGTACGCTAACCAGTCGGTTATCGTACCCGAACTTTTATGGGTCGTTTTGGGCTGTCCGGAGTACCTAAATCAGTAGAACTGGGCCGCCGCAAGCTCTTATGGGCGAGGATGTTTTGCCAACCTTGCTATCGGAGATACAGACGGTAATCTCCGTCTAATCTCGTGCGCGCCCACCATTCGCGAAATGGATACTCGGCCCGAACACGGAAAACCGCACACGCCCGCAAAAGGACGTAAGCATCTGAAACGGACGGCGATCCAGCATCCGCATAGAAATCCCACGTCGATGGCCCCACCAAAGGGAACCGCGTTGACCATCTAGAAGCTTTGCACGTGCGCGAGAGCTCGTGCAGGTGATCCTTTACAAGTCGCAGATAGACACGTGTCATTTTCAGAAGCCCTCTAAAAATCATATGCATATTTTGATATGGATTCCCATCACCACCGGTCAGAAGAAGAAGAGAAAACTAGATGGTTTTGAGGCCCAAAATTTTTTTTTGGGGCTTTATATCATCGTATTGGTAGGCGGTAAGTCTAACTGATGGTACTCGGACTTAACATTGCTGCACCCGGCCAGGTTGTGATTATTGGCCTGGAGCCCACTAGGCCGCGGCATCGATAGCACTCTCGTCCTCCGAGCTTGATGCCATTACCGGCAGAACGACGATCATGGTCGACAGACGGACATAGTGGCGTCCGACGGATGACAAAGGCGGTGGAGGGTGGCGGTAAAAGGTGGAGGTCAACCCCCCCTTGCGATGACTGATGTTGACAGACGCATCGTATTCGGGTATCGAGAGATGAAAGGGATTCGGGAGAGGTCGCACGGGAGCAGGTGGCGATAGGCGTGGAGATCCAGTGTGGCACATAGAGGGCGGTGGCAACGAAGAGGCGAATGACACGATGCTTTAGGAGTGGCGTAAGCAACCGGCCCTCCGAAAAAGGTAAGATTCTGATCACTCCCGGTGAGAATAAGAATGACCGCCTTGAAGGATTTGACGCTAAAATAATTGTTTTGGGCCACTTTGTCAACGGACTGGGAACTGTTAAGCTGACCGGAGGTGTCGATTCCAAATGGTTATGTCTGAGGCCGGGTCCGGTGGGACGGTTTGAAATGATAAGCCCATATAAATATGTCTGTAGAGTCTGGTCACCACAGTTAGAATAAGGAACAGAAAATTGAAGAGTTTTAGACAAGAAAAAAAAATTTTGGCCCACTTTATCATCAGACTGGTGGGCGGTAAACTCACACGAAGGTACTCCTACCCACTCTATATATATCGGGCCGGCTCAATTATGATTATTGGGTAATCGTATATTGAGCTTAAATCATATGCATGGTACTCGTAGTAGCCCCATCTTGGTTTAAATCCCATACATTCAATTAGTATATTGTCATCTTGTTTTGATCTCCTATGTTTAATTAGTACATTTATTTAGATATGATGCGTTTAATTCGTAGGCCCATGCATGAGAAGAGAAGGAGCGTAGCCAGCTTCTCGACATGAGAAGAGTATGCATGGCGCCATGCGAGGGGATGCGAAATGATAGGACATGATGCAACAATGCATCGGAAGACGGAGGCGATGGCGAAAGGTGATAGCACGAGATGAGAGGGAGCAAGGGGCAGTCGCAGAAGCCTAAACCATTGGATCGAAGGCGATGCCGTCGTGCGACGACGGCGGTAGAGATGCATTATGATTCACAACACATTAGATGATCCATCACACCTACAAGATTCCAGTGGCCGGAGGTGAGAATAAGACGTGGCTATTGAATGCTCTGAGCCCAAAAAAAAATTTCGGCCCTATTTTGTCATCCGACTGGTTGACGGTACGCTCACCCATCGGTGATCGTACCCGATCTTTTATGGGTCAGGCGGAGGCAAGCGTTTCGGGCCTCGCTCGATGGAACTGGGCCTATGCAAGCTCTATGGCCCAAGATGTTTTGGGCCAACTTTGCTATCGGAGGGACAGACGGTAATCACAGTCTAATGTCCTGCGCGCCCACCATTCGCGAAATGGAAACTTAGCCCGAACGCGGAAAACGGCACACGCCCGCACAAGGACGTAAGCATCTGAGACGGACGGCGATCCAGCATCCGCATAGAAATCCCACGTCGATGGCCCCACCAAAGGGAACAGCGTTGACCATCTAGAAGCTTTGCACGTGCGCGAGAGCTCGCTGCCAATGTAAACGCTTACTACTTCCTGTTCGAGAAAGGAGACGACGGACGCGGTGGTCAACATAAGCCGTCCGCCCTCAATTCAAACGCCTTAACGCGTTTCTTTTACCGTCGGCGCTCATGTCAGATTCGCTCCATTCCATGACAAATACACCCCTCGGTCTTTATAAACGCCATCCTTCCCATCGACGAAGCTAACAAAACAGCGAAAGAAGAGAGATGACAACACAACGCCCGGAAGAGCCATCCCTCGCGGCCTGCCTCAGCTTCGGTGGCAGCGCCGCATCCGCTGACGTCCCGGCGGTCGATGACTGTAGCTTCATCATCCACCATGATCCTCCGCGTCACATCGAGTTCCTAGAGGCGGCGGATGAGGACGACGCCGACGACGACTCCAGCGAGGACTTCGAGTTCGCATTCGTGGTGAGGGACCCCGACGCCTCCCCCTCGATCACCGCCGACGAGATATTTTCTGGCGGCCGGATCGTCCCCGCCTACCCCGTCTTCAACCGCGACCTCCTCCTTGCCTCCTCCGGCACAGAGGAGAGAGAAGCGGCAGCGGAAGCCAACGATATGGCCGACCAAATTCCGCTCCGACGGCTCCTGATCGAGGAGAGGGAAGCACGGTCGGCTTCGACGTCGGAGGAGCCCGAGGCTGTCGGAGAGTACTGCGTGTGGGCGCCGGACCGGTGCAAGAAGAGCGCCTCCACCGGGTCGTCGCTGCGGTGGCGTCTCCGGGACCTGATGATCGGCCGGAGCCAGAGCGACGGGAAGGAGAAGTTCGTGTACCTCGGGGCGGCGCCACCATCGCCCCAGCCAGCAAAGGGGAAGATCGCAAACTCCACTACTAAGGGTGCAGCGGCGACGGCGAAGAGACCGAGTCGGGTGGCGCAGGCGGGTGCGGTCACGGGCCACCGGGTGTACTATGGGAAGGGACCAAACGGGCAAGCGCTGAAGGCACCGCGGCGGTCGTTCTTACCGTACCGCCAAGAGCTCTTCGGGTTGTTCGCTCCAGTGACCGGTCTCCGCCGCTCACATCATCCCTTCTGATTTGAATCTCTTCCGCTTCAATAAATCCCCTTCTTTTTCTGTTTTTTTGGCTACAACATGTAGAGTTTTTGTTTGATTTTTTTTTTCTCCCGTCAAATGTTTCCTTTTGAATACGTAGTGATTGATCGGTTCAAAACCAGAAGATTCTGCTAGCGTAGAACTAATTTGAAGCGTTGAACGTAGAGCTAACTTTATCGAAACAAGAGCACATGGGACAGGATGACTCGGCCTTGAAAACTTGGTGGTGTTCACATTCACGTGACCTCTCTTTCCGGGAATCAGGTGCAAATTCTGTTCGTACTGTTTACTGGAACGGATAGGGAAGGGGAGGAGAGGAGAGGGAAAAATCATATGACCACCTTGGTTCTGGTGTTGCTTGAAATCTTATTATTTGGACGAAAGTGATCCCTGGGGATGTTAAGACGATGTTAACTGGTTGTGGAAAAATGATCTCCACATCCCCGGCTTCCATTACTAGACTCTTTTGTAAGGGTCAGACGTATATGCTACAAAGCGAGGTTGATCTTGTTTGATCCTAACAGAAACCTACGTGATTGCCCTTCTCTACAAAATCGAAGGTATTCTACGAGCAAGTACTTCGAACGTATGTCGTATCTGCATAAGGGTCCCAAGAACTTTCACTTGTATTTATGGTAGAAGCCGCGGTGAGGATCTGTGATCTTCACTCAGAGTTGTCATGTCGTACGTGCAAAAAACCATGAGGCACCAAGTCCACAGTTGCGGTGGTACCAGGCTGAGAACAGCACCAAAATAACTGGTAATCTGCATTGTCAAACGAAACATTAGTAGGTTAACTTGCATTTAGTATACAACAACACATCACATTAATCTCAGTATTGAAACCATGATACAGTCATCAACGCTCTTACGAGGACGTAGAAGTCGAGAGGCGGCATGCAGGCGTATCTCATCCATAAAAAGTCATTAAGGCAGCAGGTAGCATACAGAGCGAAGGATACGTGCGGGTCACGTCCGGTCGCCAGCATTTGCTACGATGGTCATGACATTCACATAAACCCATTAAAGATGAGAGAGTTGTCAGAATAGCCCAGAAGACGGACATGATCCAATCTTCTTTTAAGTTTAGACTAGCTGAGACAAATGGAACACTGCTTGAAGAGAGATGTTTTCACCAAATTCATGTGTGACATCGAACACATGTAGTTAGAAAGACTGCCATCACATCAAAAATGCATGTAGAAAGTTCTACAAAATTGGAACAACTGAAAGATTGGCATCGATTTATAAAAAGCATGAGAACAATTATACATGTTTCTCAATGCATAACGTTGATTAGCCTCTTTACAATATACATATTTCTTTTCTGTTTTACAATATCGAAACAGATATTTACTATACATAATTAATAGCTAATTTTGTGGCATTTGATGTGCTATATATTTTTGCGCTAGAGATAGCATTGATGGCTTGAATCAAATATTGAGATGAGAAAACACAGTCCTTCCCCGGTTAGGAAAAGTCTGGTCTTACCAGAAATGCAAGCGGCGCCGCATACATGCACGAGCCAAAGATGACACAGGGGATCCCCACGATGAGCGACCTCTTCTCATGCGTGTGTGCTACCTGTAGCACCACCACTACCAGCATCGTCATGACCACCAACTCTGCTGCCAAAACCTTCAGCACCTTCAGCTGATGAGCGTTAATTCACAAAAGAAATTCTCCATCATCGTCATGCCAAAGATCCAGGAAACTGGTATAGATATATGTAGAAAAAGGAAGGAAGGTCATAGACATACGCGGATTTCGCGGGCAGCATAAATCAAGAAGATGGTGAGGTAGACAGCCTGGAGGAAGAGACCGATGGCGTTGCTGGTAAGCACGAGGCAGCTGTTGGGGTGGACGATGGGAAGGCCATACAACACCCAGAGCATGCACTTGAAGAGTATCGTGAGCTCGGGGATCGGGAGGTACTGCTCCACCGCCTTTTTCTTTATTATGTTCTTGAACGTCGGCCTGCAAGCATCACAATAACACCGCCCAAACATAGCAATCGGAACTTTCTGGGTTCGAACCGAAACCCCGGAGAGAAACGGAAAGAGGCATAGGAGATTACACACGGGAGAGGAACAAACCGAGGGAGACGGCATTGCCTGTTAAAAGAAGAAACAATTAGCACATCCAAAATTGAAATCTACCGAACGAAAAATCGATTGGAATATTTGGTCGGGTTTATTTCAAGATCGCAAATCAACGTAATATTTGTTGGTGATTTTAGATCGACAGACAACGCGATTCTGGATTAGTCAGTGAAATCTTCATCATTCACCTAAAAGAATCGAGAACATCAAGAAAGAGAGAGAGAGAGTAGCCGAAACGAAGGATAAACCGTAAATCGAAGAGACTGGGCTTAGGGTTAGGTAGATACATAAATAAATATGAATATATACCTGCGATTCCCATAATGTCGCGTACGATCGTCACCATGTCGCGCCTAGCTAGCTCGAAAACCCAACCTAGCGGGATGAGCAAAACAAAGAACGGAAATCTGATCAAAGAGGAGAGGGAAAGAGAGCACCAAATCCACGAAGAGGAGTAAAGCGATGAAGATGGAAAACCAAAAGAAGAAGGCGAGGTGGGTTTTGAAAAGAGGTAGGCGGCGGCGGCGGAGGAGCGTCGTCTCATCCTTCTTCTCGGGGTTCCCTCGCTCTCCTTCGTCTTCTTTGCTCTCTCCTCTCTTTTGACTCGCATGGAGGGTGGGTTATATAGGAAGAAGGCTTGGCGGTTTCTGAACGCCCCCAACTCTTGTTATTATTTACGCCTTGATGCCATTCTCGGGTAGAGGATGTTTTAGCGTGGGACGCGCGGCAGCACGTCGAGTGAGGGCAGGTTGTTTTGCTTACCAGTCTCTACTTCAGTTACTCATTGTTGTTTGCCCTCCGTTTGATCCAAGCATAATTCGTTCCTCAGGTTTACTAACAACCTTGTCATTTTAATCATATTTAATGCTCTTTTTTTTGTTTAATTTCACTATGATACAGTATTCTATAGAATGTATTCTAATGATAGACGTTTCATAAGAAGCCATCTCTTATATCCATCATCTGTTCTTATCTCAAATCAAAAACGCAGGAAAAATAAAACCAAATAAGAAACAAGAAACAATCATTGCTCAGATCAACATAAGAGCAAGCATCTATCTAAATTTATGAACCTAAGATAACAATGATTCCCGTGCGGAGTATTAGACATTGGAAGCCGTGGGCAGCTCAACTTCAGCCTTGGTGCCTGCTTTCGGTGTGGATTTGTAGTAGCATGCATAGAGAATCAACTGTGCCAGGCCGAAAAGAGCACCCAAACCATTGGGAATCTGCGTCGGACGACAAAAGACGATCACATCAGCTTGCACCGTAGCATGGACATCACAGTGTCAAACTCATGTCGGAGCGAGGCGCTTACCACGAGGTTGATGTCGAATGGGAGGAAGGCATAGCTGGTCCAGACGACACCATTAAGGAAGCTAGCAAGAGAGAGGGTAAAGGGCATGTACTGGACGCTTTTGGTCTGAATGACCATTTTCTGCACGATTCATCATGTACATATCATAAAGACCATTTTTAGATAAGAGAGACATCATAGAATCCAAGAACATGGACGTTCAATCAATCAACTTTTAATGTGGGCTAAAATGAATCAGGTCACGCATCCGATCGACGAGATTCGTCCACGTGATGCTATGTGTTGCATCAAACATATGTACATTCATTTAGATGGTCATTATTTGATCACGTCAAAGATCTAGTCCCTGAGGTTTCACGATAACTCAAATCAAGATTCACGCAGAGAGAGATGAGGTTTAGAATTGCTATGGACTTCTTACCATGACCGAAAGAGGCGAAGCATACATGCACGTGCCGAAAATGATGGCGAAGATCCCTACGATGAGCGACCGCTTCTCGTGAGTGTGGGCTGTCAGGAGCACCACCACCACCACCACCGTCATGAACGACACCTCTGCGGCCAATATCTTCGACACCTTCAACTGAAGTACGTCCATCGGCAAAAGAAATACCTCGTCATTGTCACTATAGAAGGGGCGGAAATGCATAGAAAAAGAAAAGAAGGGTCATGTACGCGGCCTTGGCGGGGAGCATAAACGAGGAATATGACGAGGTAGATCGCCTCGAGGATGAGGCCGATGCCGTTGATGGTGACGACGAGGATGCTGTTGGGGTGGACGATGGGGAGGCCATAGAACACCCAGAACATGCAATTGAGGACTGTCGCGAGGTAGGGGATCGGAGAGAAATCCTCCACCGCCTTTCTCTTGATTATTCTTATGAATGTCGGCCTGTGGGCGTTGCAGCGTCACAACCGCATCTTTTTAAGTTCCGCCCAAACGAACAGTTCAACAACAACAAAAAAAGGAGAGGAAGGCATTATATAGAGCTTACACAGGGGAGAGGAACAAGCCGAAGGAGATGATGTTGCCTGTAATCAAAAGAGGTAAACAGCACATAAGGAAACGAACATTGATGGGATTATTTGGACATCATTCGGTGATTTCAGATATGACAAAAGCTCGCTGTTTTCGCGATCAAAATCTTGTAGATTGACTTTGTTGGTGAAAAATTAGGAGGGGAAAAAGATTAGCAAAAATAAATCACTAGGGTTCTTTTTAAGTTTAGAGAAATTGATGGATGGATGAATACCTATGACCCCCAGGACGCTGCGGATCGCTTGCTGGCTCATCACCATCTTGGCGAGTGGCTAACTTGGACTGAAACCCTAGCAAACCAGACGACCAAGAATAAGAAAGGAGACAAGGTTAAAGAGGAAAGGCGGAAACAACATGGGATCTGAGGACCGAAGCGAAGCGATGAAGGCGCGCACCCGAAAAGAAGAAGAAGAAGAAGAAGTCTAGGTTGATCTCGGAGAAGGGTCGCCTCCGCTTTGTCTTCCTCGAACTCTTCTTGAAAGCTTCCGTTTCGATGCGCTCTCTTTAAGTGGGGAGATTCGCTTGAGTTCATGTTGGGGGGCTTTTATTAACGTATCAACGCCGCGATACGATCCGATGACTCGATATGTGAAAGATATGTTGCCTTTCAAGTCTCCCGGCCGGTTCAGGGTTTCGCGTCACTCACACGTAGTAGCCACCTGGCCGTCGCTGTGGGACTCGGAAGGGCCCCATATATGACCAATCACGAGATGGGTGGGACGGAGGGTTCATCGTTGACCGAGGTGCGGGAAATGAATTTTGCATTTGTTTCTCGTTGATTTGGATAATCGATTCAGTTGCCTTCATCGTAATTTCCTGCGGTGTGGATAAGGATATTTACCGATAATACGAGCATCACCAAATTTGGGCCGTTAGATAAGCGTCTAATCACCGATTGGTATCGTGACGGTTGCGGCGCGCGGGCGCGGGCGCGGGTGCGGGCATGAGAGATACGTGAACAAACTCGTATTTTTTCTGTTACTTGCTTATTATTATGCCACCATATAACTGCCTCGCGGTGGGAGGTCCCCTGTGGGACCCGCCTGCGGACCCAATACAACTTCCAATGACAACAAGCGTAAGAAGCCGTGTTCCTGATATTTCAATCGTGTCTTTAAGTATAATAGCATAATCTATGAGTGCTAAGAGATGAAAGGCATCATCGCCGCATGGGCATTTGGCACTTGATTTTATATTACCTAACCCGGATGAGTTAGCCATACCATCTAAGTGCAAACCGAGGTTCAACAATGTTAACTACTTACACGTGATAGGGAATAATTTGGCGCTACCCGAATGTCGACAGATAATATCCACCAAGGAGCCGACGTGGAATAATGTAACGTGTGATAACATAAAAACATAGTGGATGTGGCAAAAAGCGTACAACCGACCCCGTAGCATCCGAAGCCATATGGGCCGACCAGCGTCATCCAAACCATATAAGTCCGCGTCACATTACTGTGATGAACGAAGGGTCGACGACCATTAACAACCCACGTATGATTGACCAACCTCCGCAGGTATAAATATCAACTCCTCCCAGCCTAGAAGGGAGGAGGATCTTTTGATACCAAAAACTCTACTTACTAATTTAAACATCGAATGGGTCGAGTTGAGAAATCCCCCTCCTGACATCGATCTATTGTGCAGGATCGTAGCATGGATAATACCTATAAAGCTCCACCTTGGATCGACCATGAAGGCATAACAAAAACCTAGGACCAACCTCCAGACCCTCGACCTCAATCCCTTAGTCTCCTTTTCCTAAAGAGCCACATGAACGTCCTTGTACTTTCGGCATAGGACCAAGCTATACTGACTCTCGGGCGATGGCATAAGGTTGCACAACATGTTCGATGAAAACATATGGATGATACCAAAATGATCATTTCCATAATATGTAATAATGTTAATAAAAATGACTAGCTTAATGTACTTCATTTTAGAGTGAAATACAAGATTAACACAGATATATTTTTTTCGATATTATCATAATATATAGAAAGAGGATTAGATATTGTGATAAATATTTTATATAATAATAATTGAATCTAACAAAGTTTAATAATTATATAAACAACCGCTCGATATTCAACGAAGATCTTATAATATAATGTTATTTATTAAAATTCCAAGAGATTGGATTGATAAAAAAAATATGATATAAGCACTAGTAGATATCTTATCATCTTTATTATCTGTCTAATCGACTTCCAAAAAATATACGAAGCAATAGAGGAGAGTTGTTTTGAAAAAATAAGCCATGATCAATAATACACTTTAAGTACTGAAAAAGATATTTAATGGTTGTCTAATGATTGAAAGTAGGCTTACGTATAAATTAAGATAATTTATTCACTGTATCTATAATGTTTGGACAAGTAAATGCCATATACGTGATAATTAGATCCTTAAAAGAAGGATGTTTTAAGCAATTATGTCATTCTTGAAATGAAACCTTGATAGTGGCCAAAACAAAAATGAATTTGGATGGTGCACCCCTCATAGACTCCATCTCTATTTGGCCCCTCTATAAGATATGCTCCTGTGTTAGATCATTTACAACAAATGAAGTGATTAAAAATTTAATAAAAATATTATTAGAAGAATATAATTTATGAATAAATATTATGTTCTTTTTCATATGAGGAACACAAATAATATTAGAAAGTAAAAAAGATTTTAAAGAAGAGGAAAATTATGCAAAACTTGTATGAGTTATTTTGAGACATTTACCATCATCCATCATGATATCAACTAAACCATCATAATTTGAATAAAGAGATAGGCTATTCAAATTAGACATGGCATGATGAGAAGCTCAAGAATTAACAAGTTAATTTAATGAAGGTTGAAAAGATTGTGCAACAAAGTAAGCACATGGTGGTAGTAATGAAAACCGAGTAGGTGATGCAGTAGGAAATGTAGAATAAGTTAGGTATCAAGGTTGAAATATCCATCAAATAGGAGCATGCATGCATTGATATTAATAATATGCTCTTGCAAGTCACATATTTGATATGTGACTGTATTGTTAAATTGTTGGCCGAATTTGTTGATACTTTTGTTATGACGTTAGTGAATGTTGTCTCCAAAACATGTTGCCTTCAGAATAATTATTTGGATGATTATCTTGCTGGTTATGGATCGTGCCTTTATTGCTAATATTAGTTTTATTAGCAAAATTGATGATAATAGAAACAACATCAGAAGTGATGACTCTTGCTTAAGATACAATTCATAGTTAGAAAGCTCGAGTATGAATTATAGCCAAAATCTCCTTGTAATTTGAACCAAAACTATTTATTACATGAAAAATGATTTATGATTTATTGCATTAGTCGTGCATCCACTTGAGTTTAGATAATCTATTTGTAGTCAAAAATAGATTAAAGAGAGTTTCTCGAAGTTACATTATGTGACCACTAGATTGGTTGATACACATTATTATAATCTTGGACCATACTTCATAAGAAAATTTTATAAAGATTACGTAGGGAATAATTTAAGGAGAGAGAGAAGTACGGATATCCCTTCTAAGAAGATGATCTTAACGTATCCAAAAAAATATATTTAGGATTTATAACTTCAAGATTATTCTCTCTAATCATTTATGAAGAAAGTGATGGTGTCATCAACATAAACCATAAAGACAAAATAAATAAGTATATCAAGAGGTATAATTTATGAATGTGAATTTAAGAAAAGCTTGGCCGGCAAGTTAATAGAGGCAATAGTATTTTCAAGAATAAAAGAATGAGGGATGATATAAAATGAGTAACCAGTTGAAGAAGCATTACCGAATATGTCCAAAAGTGAAAATGATAAAAATTTGAAATAGCTTACACGAGAGAGAGAGAGAGAGGA